ATAAGCAGAAATACTTTCACATATTATCTGAGAATTCAAATTAAATTTCCATGATCTTAAGATAATTTAAATTGAGAAAAGAGTTAAAATTACGTATTACGTAATTCTGAAAATTTAACACATACTAAATTAATTAAAAATATCAAAACTCTTGTGAATAAAATACATTTAACGCAATATATAGAAATAAAACACAATTTTGTAATGCTTTCCTAAATTATCGAACAATTCTTTTAATACTGTTTTATGTCCTTTAATGTCATGTACAGTAGTAATCACTTTAGAATAGTACACAAATTAATTAGTGAGAAGATCGGATTAGATGGTAACTATTATCTGCCTTCCGGCCAGCCAAGGGCTATGCGGTAAAACCGCTGAACGGCTGGTAGTTCAACTGCGGGAATTTTATATCTACATCCACCACTGTTTCATTTGGATAGCTTTTCTAAAATTAAACCCGTATTAGTTGCAACAAATTTATAACATAACCTTTCTTTTTCCTATAGAAATATTTCATAAATATATATTTCTAATCCAGAATTGCATTAAAATTCAAAACTGATGAAAGGAATTTTAATGTGCGTTTTAGCAGTTTTGATAAATGCTATATATAGGTCAAGTTAAAAGAAAAGACTAAGTAAATAATATACTAACATAGTGTTTGCCGCCTAACCGGGGTAGTGATTAGCGACGCTGACTGCGGTACCGAAGGACCCGGGTTCAAACCCCGCAGAAGGCAGGAGGGCACTCTAGATGTGCGGCAAACCGAAAGTCCTCCAAAGAGGTTGTGGTAGGGAAAGAGGTGGGAGAGACTTTTGAACCCGTCTCCCCGGAGTGCTGTCCATCATAATTAGGGACGGAACTGAACAAAGTTGTACTGTCACCTGTATGTTGTCTAAGGCGTACTGTTATCTGTATAGTGTCTAAGGCGCTTACCAACGGCAAGAGCAATCTTAAACTCCTTGCCACGATGAATTTCGTGGACTTGTGCTAATGTAACTGTCAGACAAATGAGATAAAACACAACAACAACAACATATATTTTAAGTTTTCTTGTGTCATGAGAAGTATCTGTTACAGTTTTGGTATGTATTACATCTCTATTGTAACACAATGCAAAAGATCCAAATACATTTATTGAAGTTTGATAACTAGGACATGGTTTAAATGGGATTACTGCATACTTCTATAAGAGTGTTAAGTTTTCTGTAGAGGGAAATAAAGTAATTATTTATGATTTTTACATTCAAATTGAGATTAAATACAAAATACTCTTCCACTGTTTAAAAACGTTATATTTCTGTACTTATACACTTCACGCTGCATATTGACGTTCAGAGTTTCAATATCTTAGCTGGATATTCTGCAATAGTTTCTGTTGAACATATCTCATTTTGGCAATAATAACACTCATAATGAAATATAGCATTTATTTCACTATGAGAATAAAAAAATTAAAATTTAAGTGACAAAACATTAGATTTTTGAAGGAAAGTATCCGAAGTAAGAATATTGTCTACTTTCCCTAAAACGATGCTCCTGAAGAAGAGCTGTTGGATTTGGTTATATTTATTATGATAAAACACAGGAGGGTTATCCATTTAAAAAGAGGGTGCCATTGTGAAGGATTTTTAGAGGTAAAATAGCTGATATTCATGTTACATATGGGGAAAATCTCAAAATTTTTATCTAGCTCTTTCGATAGGTTTTGAACACGGGTCGAACTATCAATGTCCAGCAATCTTACCGCGCGGCCTATTATTAACCTTCTGAACAAGAGGGAACTGTGCTTGATTTCCTTCGAAATCAATATAGTTTTTTTATACCAAAACTAGTTAAATTAGGTTAAAACTTTGCTTAATTTAAATTTTTACTTGTATATTGATGTATTCTTGTTTAAATTTGAAATGTTCTAGTGTATGTTGTGACAAATTCTTTTGTTTTGAATAAAATCTAACTGAAGTTCAGGAATTCAAGAAGGTCGAAACGGAAGGGAATTCGCTTGTCGTTGAGCACCTAATGCAGGGCAACATGAGTTTATTCATCTCCTTCCCAATTTTGATGGAAAATACCTCGGGGGTGGATTTTTATTCCCATACCCCAACATTATGTCTTCCTCCGGATTCGAATCTGAGCCCTTGGGCTATGATACCTTGCTTCCATGTCATCAAGCCAACAATGCGATATAACATTTAAGGAGAATAAAATCAAAAAAAATTACTTTCGAAACACCACAGATATTTATTTCTATGTAACTATTTCGGTGTGTGCTTGAATCAACTGAAAAGGCAATATGGCAAACATAAAATATTTTTTTCCAGAAAGTAGAAAAAAACCTAAATAGCTGTTTTTTTAAATATATATATATATATATACGTTTCGTAAGGCTGATTGTAAAGAAATAGAGAGGTGCACAAATAGATGTTATAGCTGTGTCCCATGTACAAAATTTCAAAACGCTCTACAGCTACTCGTTTTTAAGTTACGCGAGATAAATACATACGTACGCACGTACAAAAATTAATAAAAAATTCTTCTGAATACATTTTAAATACATTTTAGAATCCGTTTTGGACTTCCTTTATTCTGTCCTTACGTACAGATGTCACGTGAAAACATCGTTCAAATGGATTCGAGAGCGTTTAAAATGGAGCTTTCTAAGGGATAAAACTAATAATACAACAACGTTGAGTTAGGCACAGATTTATGTTAGGATTTCTATGAGGCATAAATCTACGCCAAATTCAAAGTTGTTGTGTTACTAATTTAATGTTTCACTTGACGTGTTTCTATTTTGTTTTCATTTTTTAAAAAGCATACTTTCGTTGAAATATGATACTCGAAATCTTTTGTGATTACAATACTTCATTTACTTCATAAAAGAGAGTAAAAAGTGCAGATGGGACTTGTAAAAGTTTATTTATACACCACGCGGCACACTGGGGTTTCATCTTGCACGAATTTGAATATATGTGGCTAAAAATGTGAATCTTCCACACTATCATTCAGAATCATTCATTAAATTCATTCTATCATTCACTATCACTCATTAAATTAGAAACAAAACAACTTTAATATATGCAGCTTAAGTGTTTGTCGCCGATAGTTTATTGGTTGATTGCGTAACTCTAAATTGTTTTATTCCATGTGCAGTGCAGCGCGTGACGAATAGTATGAGAAAGCTAAGCCGGAAAAATTAAAAATACAAGAGCACGTGCATTTAACATTTAATAAATAAATTTAACATCTACATATAATAGAATTCGGAAATACGAGCAACCGGCAACTCGTATGCAACCGGCAAAAACTGGCAACGATGAAAAAAACAAATAAAATGAAATAAATAAATATCTTTATGAGATGCAACTTAAGTGTCTGTTTGTCGCTGATAGTTTATTGGTTGCTTGCGTAACTATACTAGCCAATGGGGTGAAGTTGCCACGGCACAGGGTTGCCGTTTTAATTGAGACGTAGACAATTTCCTGCAAGACTTGCCTTTGCTATGACCATCCATAAGTCTCAGGGCGAAACGCTCAAGCCTATTGGCATTTTTTTTACCTGAGTCTGCATTTGGACACGGTCAACTTTATGTTGCCTGTTCAAGAGTTCGTGAAAGAACGGACATAAAATTAAAAATATTGGATGGTGTCCAAAATTGAATTGTGTCCAAAATTTTAAATGTTTGATAGAAAACTTTTTAATAAATATTTTCATTGAAAATTTCACATTTTTTGCAACTTCATTATCTTTAAATAGCAATTAACAGCGGCAGCAACGATTACTGCAGCAATTAGTAGCGACTGAAAAAACAGTCTTGATGTAGCTAGTTTACCGTGCTGTACTTTATTAAGTTAATTATTATTGCTACTATACAGACATTATGTTTAATAATAACATAACTTTATATATAATAATATAAAAATTCTTCTATACTAAGCAACAACTAGTTTAGTATTATTGTGTAAAAATGACCCTACATTTAATACTTAGTAATATGCTTTGTGACGCAGGCATGCTATGTGAGAACACAAACGTAGATTATATGGAATGGATGTACATAATATCAGGTAAAAGTCTTCAACGTTTGCGATATCTGAAAAAAAGCAAGAGTTTTGTGAAACAAAGATGGTTTAATATGCAAAATTACTCAGTAAAGTAATCTTGCGACAAGTTCTCAGTTTAATTATAATTTGTGTCATAGTCAATATTTTAAGATAGCATACTGTATAATCCACTTCAAACACAAATTCTAAAGCGAAATAGCTACAGTTAGAGATATTTACAAGAACATAGCGAAAGTATATATGAAAAATAAAATTTTCAGCTTGACTTACTTTAGTAAATATTTCCAGAATTTTTCTTCTGGGAATCAAACCAAAATAGTTTTATAAAATGTGAACTCTCAGATAGAAAGAAAGTGAACCAGAAAGTGAGTTTCAGGAAAAAAGTTATTTTAGACAAGATTTAGGGCTCAGAATTGAAAAATCATAGAGATAAAAAGTGCAACTTTAGAATAAAAAGAAAAAATAAAGTAACATTATTCTGAACATAGAGATAAATGCCTAATTCTTAACTAAAAGTCAAGTTGTTTTTAAGCGATGAACTAAATTTATAATTCCAAGCCTGCAGGATTAGTTTAAGATGTATATTAAGTACCTCATTAAGTTTAAACATACTGGAAAATCTGTCAGGCTAACCATATTCTTAAAAACGACCACTTCTGAAAGTAGCCAACGTTTCTAGGAAAGTAAATGAACATTGCTACTATTAGTTATAATACTATTGTCGGAAAAACAGCTATGTTACAGGATCAGTAATTATTTATTTATAAAACATTTCAAAAAATTGTTGGCAACAAAAATAGTTGTATTGCAGCATCAATATTATTTATTTCTAAAAGTTTCAAAAATATATCGGCAACAAAAAAATAATATCAGTATCTCGAGCTATGTTCTTATGATTGAAATCGTTTTATTTTACAACATTCTGTTTAAAATTTTGTATGATTTAGACTTATAATAGTTCCAATAGCTTATTATCTCTGTTAATTGCAATTATGTGTTGCTGAATTTGTACTCCGCAAAATCACTATATAATAGGTAGGTCTATTTTTGTAAGAAATTAAAAAATATCTGTAAAATAAAGAAAATTAATATATTTTTTGGTTGAATCTGATGTGTGGCATATGCAATACTTTCATTATTATTCTAAACTGTCAACAAAGCAATAATCCGATTCTTTAAAGAAACCATTTTCTTATCCGGCTATGACTATCAAATACTTATTGAAAGAGCTAATAAAATATTTAATAACAATGTCAAGCTAAAACAGATTGTGAACCAAATAAATTTTAAAAAAATCTGAAAGGGTTCAGATTTTAACGGATTCCCGAAAGATTTGTTAAGGTTTTTTACGCTCTCGCTGAGCTCGCAGTCCACCAGACTGCTGCTGCATTCACTCCTGGTAACCCATTTCTTTTTGCATTTTTAGCTTTATTATTAAGCATCGGTTTCTTCACACTTAACACTATATGCAATTCAACAGCAAAATTACAAAAGTTTTAGTAGTAGCATGTGTTTAGAATTCCCGATGCAGGTTAAGGCTTTACATATATTTTTTTATTCTTTTCGGTCTTTCCTCAGTTTATCATATCAATGTTCAGTCTTCTTAGTAGGATGCTTTGCAAAATTTGTTTTCTCTTTTTAATATTAACGTTTTGTGTGTTAAATTTATGAATTAAATATTACGTTCTTGGTACTTATAAAGCATAAAATTTAATTCAACAGCAAAATATTAAAAATCCTTAGAATTTCCGCAGTCTCACGTGGGGGTGATAAAAATATTTCCGTACAGTGTTACCACTGCATGCTTTCAAATCGTTGAGTTTTTCAATCAAAAATTCCTTAAATTTATACAAAATTAAAATATTAAATTCGTAATATAAAATTCCGGTTTCCAAGTGCCCATATTCGGATGGAGAACTACATTATGCAAAATTCGATGGCCTTAGATTCACAATACGAGGAATATAGGGGGTATTGTTCACAATACGAGGAACATGTATACATACATGCAGATTATACATTATTTAATTTATTTCTTCAAAAAAAAAATATAGGGCAATAGGATTAAGTGGAAAAATTTGAAAAGTGCCACACTCTTTATAGCCGATAACGCAAAATTCTGTCTCGTAATTAATAGCTCATTCGGAATAACGCCCTGTTTGGGTTAAAAAAATCGAAGAATATTTCAAGATAAAACAAATCTGGAAGCTTTCAGGTTTTCTATTAAGCCCAAGGGACTTTTTTTTCATTTACATACACATACACGTTTCGAGAGCATTTTGAGATAACGACCCTTTCAATTAAAATTTTTAAAAACAACATATCTTTAAAATTTCCAATAGACAGACTCACACGCTGGAGATAAAATGTTTTATTCCGTACAGTGTTCCCAAAAATGTTTTATTCCGTACAGTGTTGCCACAGTGTTTCATAAAATGATGGAGTTTCTTTTTATCAAAAATTCATTAAAGTTTTACAAAACAGGAAATAGATAATAAAACAAATTCAAAATTTCGGAATTCCGGATGCTCATATTCGGGCGTTATTCAAAATTTTGTGGCTCCAGTTACCGTTTTTTCACAACGCGAGGAACATACACACATTCAGGTAGATTCTTCATTATTTAATTTCTTTAAATATACCTAATAATGTTTCTTATAATACACCTTATAATATTCAATTACGTTTTTTCAATTTAAATATAAATTACCGAGACAAACTTTTACTCAATGTTAAATGGACGTACTCCTGTATTTTTACTTTTTCGTCATAGTTTTCTTTTCAAATTCCTCACGCGCTGCATTGTAAGGGGAAATAAAATAATTTTAATTGTAATTCTACTAAAATTATACAAAATTCGTATCAGTATAATACAGGGCGATAATATTTGGTAGCGACAATTTGAAAAAGCATGTAAATGCTGCTAGGTGTAGATTCCAGAGAGAAAGAAACTGTCTTCTTAAAAATATTTGTAAAATTAAATATTTCGAATTGCGGCATAAGTACAAGGCTAAATTAGCTAATGCTAAGCTTGAGTCGTAGAGAAATTTTCTCTCAACTATTACTCTTCACAATGTCCGGAAATCTATATATAAGTATGGGGTTAAGACCAATTTTGCGAAAGGATTGAGATTTCGAGAATTAAACTCCCGGATGGCAGTGTTACTTCGAGTTTGAGTGATACAATTGTTGCTATAATGACAAAGAATTTCCAAAGAGATAATGCGCGTGATGATAGAAATTCTCATAGAACTATGCGCACTGAGTCTGATGGACCTTATATTTCTTTTACGGACTGTCCGTTCTCTACTTCAGAAGTCAACAGTGTTATTAAAAGTCTCAAGAAGAACAAATCACCTGGGCTTGACTCTCTTTCTAATGAAATTGTACAGCACTTTCATGCGGTGGATAGCACATTTCTACACAGACTTTTCAACCTTTGTTTACAATTAGCAGTTTTTCTAGCACAATGGAAGAGAGCTCGGGTTGTTTTGATTCCTAAAACTTTAGATACAAGAACCCCTTATCTTGATAATATTAGATGCATTAGTCTTTTGCCTACTTTGGGAAAATGTCTTGAAACTTTCTTCATTAACAGAATAAATTGGTATTTGAGACAAAAATGTATTTATAATGATTATCAGTTCGGATTTACTCCTCGGAAGTCCGCTGAAGACGCTAATATTTGCCTTTGTAATATCTTGGATTGTGCAAAGAAAATGAAGTATACTACACTTCTTATTTTCCTGGATTTCAAAGGAGCTTTTGATATTGCTTGGTGGCCATCTATCTTAAAAATTTTAAAAGATGCTGGTATACCACATAATATCTATAACCTTCTTAAAAGCTTCTTGAACGAGAGGACTGCTGAGCTTCAGCTTGGGAAAGAAGCTAAGGTCTATTCTCTAGAAAAAGGCTGTCCTCAAGGCTCTGTATCCCGACCTATTCTTTGGAACATAATCATAAATGATCTTTTAAGTCACCTCGACGGTTTTTTAAAAATTGCGTTTGCAGACGACTTACTATTAATTTTCCAAGGAAGAATTTTGAATAACATTCTTTTGAGAGCACAAGAAGTTCTAGATTTTGTCTCCAGTTGGGCGATTTCTCATAAACTCACTTTCAATCCTTCAAAAAGTAAAGCTATTCTTGTTCCCAGTACGTTTGATGAACAAAATATTGCTTCTTTGATGCTCGATAATTCTCCGTTGGAATTTGTAGAAAATGTTAAATATCTTGGTGTCATTCTTGACCAAAAATTAACATGGAAAAAGCACATTGAATTCCTTTCTGCTAAATGTGAAAAAATTATTAATGGCTTTCACCGAATTGCCAAAAATACTTTTGAAGTAAGCTATGATGTTAAGAAACTCATGTATAAGCAGTGTATTGTACCTTTCATTTCGTACGGCTGTCGTGCTTGGGGATATATTCTTGCCAAGAAGGTTAACAAAAGAAATTTAAGAAAGATTCAACGGAGAATTCTTCTTCGTATTATTAGTGGTTATATAACCTTAAGCTATGAGCTTTTGTTCTTGCAGGAGTTCCGCCTATTGATTTTGAAATTGCATATAAGAATAATATTTTTGAGTCATTGGCAACTCATGCTTCGGAAGCCTGTATTAATGGAATTGTCCCCTTCACTGATCTTCCTCATCCCGCTTCTTTAGAACCCATAAATTTCTGCGATTATAAAGACACTGCTGAAATAAGTTTTCATATGGTTTTCTTTACAGATGGCAGCAAGATGAACAACAAGGTTGTCCTTGCATTTGTTCTTTTTGAAGGCCATTCCGAGATTTGTTTTCTTAGACACCGTATACGGAATGAATGTACAGTTTTTCAAGCAGAATTGCTCTATGCATTTATCTTGCCGTCAAATGGATCCAGGATCATGGGACAACATCCTCAAAGTACCTTATTTGTTCTGATTCTCTTTCTTCTCTTCAACTTTTGAACAGTATTATCAGCTGCGATAAATTAGTTATCGAAACCCTAGTAACTGTTAGTTCACTTAGAATTAGAGGTATTGATATTTGCTTTGCTTATGTGCGTGCTCATCATGGTTTCTACGGAAATGAAAGAGCTGATTTCTTAGATAAAGCTGCCTTAAATTTACCTATTGATATCAACATTAGCGTTCCAAAGAGTTATTGGAAGTCCTTTCATTATGAAAAGCTTTTAGCTATGTGGAATGAGGAATACATTTCATCTTGTAATAATAATGTAAGTCACTAAAAAGTTTCTTCCTTTTATTTACCATAGACTGAATTCCGAGTCTTTCCTCTCGTTAAATTTTAAAGTGTCTCAGTTTTTATCTGTTCACGGTAAATTTGCAAGTTATCTGTTTCGTTTTAATCTACCATCAAACAATTTATGTGAATGTTCAAAAAGAGTTCCTCAGGATGTGGAACATTTGATTTTCTCGTGCCCTACATTTGATGGCCCTAGATTATGCTTACAGAACGATTTGAAAATGTTCGGAGTGACTTGGCCAGTGAACTTATCTGTTTCGTGTGAAGTCCAGACTGCTGTTCTCTGCTTTTGTTCGCTTTATTTATGCATGTAATTTTTAATGTTTATTTATACATGTAACCTTTAATGTTCTAGTTAACTTACTTCTGTAAGCCTCGTGTTGTACATATGTGGTGCACGGGGAGTCTGTATGTTCTCAAAGGGAAAAAAAAATTCAACGCTTTTAGCGATTCGGTGCAAACTGTAGTTTCGAGACTAATAGCACTTCTGGGCTAACATCCCTTTGGGTAAAAACTATTTTTACTGGAAATAATGATTAATTCGCCCCTGAATCCTCAATTTATTGTTTTATAGTATGGTGTATTTTTTCACATAGAAGTAAGCGTTTCTGATATAAGGTTCCAAAGGTTACTTGGTATAATCCTATATATACTTTCTTTCTCCTCAACCGACCATACACAGCTGCGAAATAACAACATCGGTACGGATTAAAGCAAACAAAGAGTTTAAAACAACTAGTATAAAGAGGAATGTTTACAATCCAAGGCAAGGCAGTGTAT